GGGGGCGGCACATAGTGACACACGCATAGAGATAAAAAACCAGCAAATAAAATATAACGGTCGCTTTCGACAAGATAACTTCTATGAACGGCACGATTGTTGCTTCAGTAAAGTCAACATACTTTTGAGTTCAATGCAAAACACAAACGCATAAGAGTATAGCAGTTTGTATATATATATATATATATGTATATGTATATGTACGAATGTTTGATGTGCTGGACATTTATGTTTACCATTAGAATTCACTGAATTTTTAATAACCTAACATTGAAAATTTGAAGAATCAAACTACAATACCTGTCTGTTAATAAACTATTTTTAAAAGATGCATCGCTATTGTCACATAATGTTTATTGTTTTTTTTTTCTTAGCAACCAAATCTGTATATTTTGGGGACAAAGAGATAATAAACCTAACATATCATTAAATTCACCGAAGTACACGTTTCTCCTGGACAAGGGCAATATTAAGCCTCTTCTGATGGTAGTTTGTAAATGTTGACTCGAATTTTACTCGCTGTATTGAATCTGTATTTGTACAGGTAGTTGAAGAAAAGCTGGTTCACTGTGATTGGTAATCGACAACCTAAACAGAAGTCAATAATTTCACTTTTTACAACGGTATTTTCGTTTTATAGTAAGCCTTACCGTTTAATAAAAAAAAAAGATGTTTAAAGATTATTGCATCAGTGTAGCTTTCTTTCAAAAAAAAATGTTTTTTCAGTTTAAGTAAAACTGCTCAATTACCTCGATAATGGTGAGCATGAATAACGCTCAACGTGCGCTTCAGTTTAAAAAAAAAAAAGTACTAATGTTTTTGGTTACTCGATCGATCCCTAGGTGGCCCGTGTTTGAAACATATACCCAACAATCGTGTTTTGCAAGTTGTCTACTAATATTCGGTATTCTAAACTGCTATGTTACAGCTATATTCTATATCATTTGATATATATATATATATATATACCTTAACAAGTCCACTAGAGAGTTAAATAAAGGCAGCACTGAATAGAAAAGGTTCATTATGACATTCTTCACTTAGATATCACACTGTGGTTAAGATATCTCGTCTGTTGAATTTGGAAAAGGTGCTGGTATGTAGGGGCGTCGAGAGCCAGGTCAGGCCCCGGGGGTCAGTAATATCACCGATTAACTTTTGCTGATTTTTCATAAACGTTTGTTTGTTTGTTTTGAATTTCGCGCAAAGCCACACGAGGGCTATCTGCTTAGTCGTCCCTAATTCAGCAGTGTAAGACTAGAGGGAAGGCAGCTAGTCATCATCACCCACCGCCAACTCTTTTACCAACGAATAGTGGGATTGACCGTCACATTATAACGCCCCCACGGCTGAAAGGGCGGGCATGTTTGGTGTGACGGGGATTCGAACCTGCGACCCTTAGATTGCCAGTCGAGCGCCCTAACCACCTGGCCATGCCAGGCCTTTCATAAAAGAAACTTACGTAACAAATGTCTTCGTGAATCCATGAAAAAAGCAGTAGCCATTTTAGCTCATTAAGTAGTATACATTTCTAGTGAGCTTTGGAATATTCAACTTCCGGGCCCCTCAACAGACCCCGGGTCCCGGGGCAGCTGCCCCCTTGCTCCCCCTATCGGCAGCCCTCACTCTTCCTAGGATTGCAGAGACAATAAAGCGAAACGTATTTTGGTGAGAAACCAAAGAAATGTGAATAGGGTGTTACAAAGCAGTGTGAAATTATCATCATATTTTTTAACGGCATGTCATATTAAGCCTAATTAAGGTAGACGAGCAACAGAATTTAGTAATTCACGCTGCACTTGTTACTTTAAACAATTACCACAATACACCGAACTAGAATTCTGAATAATGATTATATATATATATATATATATATTTATATATATTTATTTATTTACAAAACTTCTCATGATATAAGAAGTTACTTTTGTCAAAAACAATATAGACAGCTCTTTCTCGGAAGACTAAAAAATAAATTTCGTTTCATTTAGATTTTTTCTGGATGCAGAGAAAGTGTAAGCTTAATTAAGTGTCTTACGTAATACAAGCCACAAGCTTTTTTGTTGTTCTTTAGATGCTCTATGTCAAGAGCTGGAACAAGAACGGAAAGCTCGCTTCGCTGTTCAGCAAAAACTTAAAGGTAAATATGTAAAAATGTCAGTTCTAATTTTTATCGTAATTCCAACCTTGTACACAAAATCATTCCAAGATTCTATCTTGACGCCAGAAAATTAACACAAGCAAGGCGCTAAGTAAATTTGTTTTTGCCTTTTCTTTTAGTATGGGTGAAATATCGTAGTTTAGAGCATTTGGATTATCTTACATTAATAATATAAAAATATTCTGTGTTTACAGTTTTTGTATACATGAGTATTTTTAACCTAGTATAAGCTCTTATACACAGTAAAAGATCGCCCTCTAGTGGCACAGCGGTATGTCTTTGGACTTAGAACGCTAGAAACCGGGTTTCGATACCCGTGGTGGGCAGAGCATAGATAGCCCATTGTGTAGCTTTGTGCTTAATTACAAACAAACAATCTTACAGTAAAAGATCAAGAAAATCTGAGCCATTTTCTTAAGCTTAAAGATGCTTAAAGGCTTAGTGTGAAGCGGTAATATGAAAGGTAAAATAAATTATAATTGTAAAAGAAGGTAGAAAGCGTTTAGGATGAATGACTGTGGTTTACTTACTCTCATTAAATAATTTATTTTAATTGTGTTCTAATTTCATTGTTATT